GGCTATATGGAGCCAAATGTGCCAGACACAACAGGACTGGTGGTCGCTCATACAGTGTCCAGTGTGAGTGATGGTGCTCAACCCTACAGGTGGTCCCATTACACTAAAACAGGGGTTACACATGGGTGAGTTCTACCCCATTGAGGACTCTGATATCGCATCTCTCTCCCAGGCTGGAAAGGAGGAGATTGGAGTTTTTCCACCCCGGGCACTTCCTGTCACATTAGATGAGTCTCCTGTTACGGTGCAGCAACGAGCAGAGCTATCAGCACTGCTGCTGAAGTTCAGCGATGTGTTCAACCTTTCTAAAAGGAACACGGGACGGTGTACACTTGTAAAGCACACTATAAGGACGGGTGATCACCACCCCGTCAAACAGCGTGCGTATCGCTCTTCTCCAGAGAAAAGAGCAGAAATCGATCATCAGGTAGCTGGGCTGTTAGCGGATGGAGTCATAGAGGAGAGTTGGAGTTCCTGGGCATCACCAGTAGTGCTTGTTAGGAAGAAAGGGGGAGAGTGGAGGTTCTGTGTGGACTACCGTAAGCTGAACGCCGTGACAGTCAGGGACTCCCATCCTCTTCCCCGTGTGGATGACAGCCTTGACGCATTAGCTGGATGCACTTGGTTCACCACCCTTGACTTCTCTAATGGCTACTGGCAGGTGGAAGTGGCTGAGGAGGATAGGGAAAAGACAGCTTTTAGGACAGGGCGGGGCCTATATCTGTGGCGAGCTATGCCCATGGGCCTGACCAATTCACCGGCTACCTTTCAGCGGATGATGGAGCTGGTGCTACGAGGTTTGCCATGGCACATCTGCATGGTGTATCTGGACGATATCTTGGTCTACAGCCGGACATTTGCAGATCATCTTTCCCACCTAGTGGAGGTGTTGTCCAGAATCCAATCAGCGGGCCTGAAGTTAAATCCAAAAAAATGTCACTTTGCCAGAGACCATGTTGTATTTTTTAGGCCATGTGGTCTCTGCCGATGGCCTCATGCCAGACCCAAGGAACACGAACAAAGCACGGTCCTGGCCCACCCCTCGTACCCCGTCTGAGGTCCGATCATTTGTGGGCTTTTGCTTGTATTATAGGCGGTTTGTTAAGAACTTTTCGCAACATGCTGCGCCTTTGAATCGCGTGAATGGTAAAAATGTGCCATTTGAATGAACTGCAGATTGTGAGGCGGCCTTTTCTTACCTCAAGCAGGCTCCCAAGCTCTGCCAGCCAAGCTCTGAATAACACACAGAAACGTTGGGCCACCTTTGATCGTGAACTCTGGGCTGTCGTGTGGGCTGTACGTGAGTTCAAGCATTACGATGAGTCATTGACCATCGCCCCCCCATGGGCCTCCGGAAAATAGCTTTGGAAAATGACCCCACAGGGAGAAGGGGCCGATGGATTCTGGAGTTGGACCCTTTTGACTGGGAGATTGTCCACAAGGATGGGTTCCGCTACAGAAATGCAGATGCATTATCTCGCCGGCCTGTGTTGGACAGCTCCATTGAGTCAGGGCACTCTAACAGCTATGTGCAGGCTGTTGGTTCTCTGGGAGGGGATGACATCTCACTTATTGAGCCAGGAAAAGGGGGTACCACTCAGAATCCCCAATTGATGTATTCACTTGCCTCGGATGGATTAGAGTGTCATGAATGTCATGGCAGAATGTCATGGCAGAGGGAAAATCTGGACATTAAGACGGTGGTAGTTTGGATTGAGAAAGGTAAACGGAGATCCCCCCGGAGACTTCTGAAGGGGGCTTCTCTCCCTCTTCGTAAGTTGTGGACAGAATTTAGCCGCTTATCAATTATAAAGGGACTGTTGTGCCGGGCTGTGATATCTCCATCAGGTGAGAGGCAGGTGCAGGTGGTTATTCCCCCAACTTTAGTGCCTCAACTCCTGGAACAGTTTCATGGAGGGCCAGCTGCTGCTCATTTTTCAACCGAACGGGTCTGGGAAAAAGTTAGGCAAACATATTATTGGCCTTTCATGTTACGAGACATACGAAACTGGTGTGATAAATGTAGGGCATGTCAGACACGGCGCTCCCCAGTTCCGCAGCTAAAGGCTCCCATGGGTGGGTCCCTGGCGAGCCGTCCGCTACAGAGAGTTGCAGCTGATATTTTAGAGCTGCCAGTGACCACGAGGGGTAACAGGTATGTGCTGGTAGTGGAGGATTATTTTACTAAATTTGTGAACCTCTATGCACTGCCAAATCAGACCGCGAACACGGTGGCACACTGCTTATTTGAGGATTTTGTGCTGGTGCATGGTGTCCCGGAGGCCTTACATACTGATCAGGGTCGGCA